TGGCACTATGCAAGTTGTAGGCAGGTGGGTGGGATCTGCTCCTTGAGTAACAGGTCCCGCCCCTATGAGTGACTCGCCCGGAGCTGTACGTGACCATTTCTCATAGTTCATGAAGGAAAAGAGCACTTACAATGAAAAATATAGTAAACCTAATAACCTGGATAGTTCGGACATTGATTTTGTCACCTTCAATGCAGTAGAGAGTTTGGTTATTGATTACCACGTCTTCAGCACGACAGGTGAACGCAGCTGATGGAATAGTAGCCAGAGACGTTTGCACGTCGTACGTCATCACCTGTTTTCGAAAACCGTTTGAAAACTGCTTACTGGCTTTGTTAGTGAAAAAAATAGAAAAAAGACTTATTTTCGAAAAGTCTTTTCTGATAACGATTTTTCAAAAAAATAATGTTAAATCGTAATAGGAAACAGGTCAAAAGCTACTATATCCACTTACCGTATCCTCACTCCAAACTACAAGCTGCTTCTCTTGCACGTAGATTCCTTTCGCTTGGAATTTCAGCTTAAGATCTTGATGAACAGAAGTCAAGACGTTGATGAGAACGAATGATGAAGTTCCGCTTTGAATTGCTGCTATCTGAATTCAAACCACTGAAAAATTGGGCAACAGAACTTGTATAATGTAAGAAAAGTAGCAAAATGATTGACAACAAAACTGTCGCCAGCATACCACAAGGGTGGGCTGATCTTGCACTGAATCACAGATCCCGCCCACCTATCTGAATTCGCATTACATTGTGTTTCACCGCTGCTTTCAGGATAAGGGTTTCAAAACGGTACTACTATTGCGGGTGACAAAGTGTGTAAGGGAGCTAGGTGAACTGGCCTTTTATACACAGAGGAATTAAAATATGCAGTACCCACTTTATTCCTTAAACAAATTATATTATTCTCCTCCTGTAGTATCGTCAGCTCATCGCCTGTATTCACTGCTAGAGCAGAATACATCGGGCACCATTCAATTGACGTTATCTGGAAGTAATTGAAGTTCAGTCATTGGTTATCTTATGAAAATTTCATTCAGATCGTCTTCAGCTTGACTCCCCTTCATCCAAAAATCCTCACTTCAGGTTCCATTTTATCCCTAACTCATTCCATAGCTGGATTCCTGACATATCCTTACCTTTCCTGGAAGTTGATTACTGGGCTGTAGGCGCCAAGTGTTCTCCACAGATGATTCACCAGGTCGACGTTTCCAGTTCGCCACTTTTCCTTTCATTGTACCAGCAGAAATCATTCCTCAAAATCGAAAATAAATCCAAAACCGACTTTTCTTGCGGTAGAAGAAGTAAATGCGATTCATACTAGAGACAGTAGATGACTCGGTTTCTGTTGGTGCGCCATGCTTTTGTTTTCTGTCGAAAGTTAGCAAAAATTCCAAAAGTTCTGATCCTGTGCTACATGTGGTAAATTAGGGCCTATCTAATGCAATGAGTCCACCTTTCTGAATTTTTCTAGCACTTTATAACTAGCTCTGGAAGAAATAATTGTGAGGTTCATTAGGATGGTCTACGTTCCCCTGATCAGTGGTCCGTATTCTCCAACCAAGAAGTGTTTCAGATTAGCTGGTAGTTCCCAACGGCTTACTCACCTTTACGCTTGGAGTAATCTACACAAAGGATGACATCGTCTGCATCGAATCCTTTTGATGACTGCAATGAGATGGTACCATTTTCTTCTGTCTCAAGATCCCATACCCGTAAATCTCTTTCTTGTTGGCATATAAGTAGAAGATTTTCTCTGAGACAAATCGAAGTACCTCCTTTGCCTGACAATTTCACCTGGAACCATACAAGTAAGTAATTCTCTGGGTTTATCGCCTGCTTCACAGAGAAAGAAGGGTAGGTCTATACCTTCAACTTCTCAACAGTTGTTGAATCTGGCATTATGGTCAAGTGATAAAGCATCATATCACTCGTCAATGCGATTAGTATGGCTTTCTGGTCGTAATAAGCGAGGAAATCAACTCGATAGTCCAGCTGAAGTAACAGAGTAAGGAAGTGGTTAGGCGTGAGAGATGAAAGGTAATATTTTCGGCATCAGTCTATCCCATAGTGAAATGTGCCCGCATTCAATTTTCAGTCAGGGTCGTGGTGGTAGTTTGAACGCGTATGGGGCCTATGCAATGACTTGCGATGGCCTGGGTACATATCGGTGCCTGTATTCTCCCACGCGAGTCTGTTACCAAATAACTTACCCAGAGGGACGAAAGAGTTGGTTGGTCTTTGTGATATCGATCTGGAATTTAAACTTGGAGCCATGCTTGTAAGAATGCGCCTCTTGGCACCACACCACCCCCATCCATTTCGAAAATATAGAAGAAAGCAGAAAAATGCTGTAAGTGTTTACCACAGCCCTCAAATTGAGCTAAATTTCCTAACCCACTTGATTTTTCTGTGACATTCAAGGAATGTTACCGGGTGGAAGACAAGGTGAAGTGTTAGTTCCTCCACAAATTTCCAATCTCCTTAAATCACTAGCCGTAATTTTCAACAGGTGGAAATCAGAGGGGAGCCACCATCAATCATGCCACAAGTACACTAACAATAAGTTAAAGAAATTTTCCGAAGTCGCCATCACCTGACACAATCTGATACTGCTAGCGTTCTGATCAATCACATAGACCACTCCTCCTTCGGTACCAACAGCAAATGTTGATGTTAGCGAGATGG